CCTAATAGACCTTAGTTCACAGATTCGCTTTGTCTAAGGTGTATTTCTAGGATTTCGCACAACCCAGGATTCAAATCATGAATACATAATGGGCTTGGATTTACAACATTATGAATGAAATGTGCTCTATTTGGAAGCAGCCGGCCCCCCTCCCCTTTCGACGGGTTGTATGTTTGTATGTGAGACTCTAAATCATCAAACTGTAAATTATAAATTTTAAATTGTTATTGAGCCCTTTACCCCTGGTCCTAAAGTGTATATTTATTTTCTTACTCTTCTTATATTTATTGTTTGTTTACTTGCACTGCTGTAACTGGAGCCTTGTCGTCTCATCTCTCTATATACTGGACTGTATGTAGCGGAGATGACAATAAAGTTTACTTTGACTTCAGCAGCAAGCAGGTGCACCGAGGGCTCTCGCGCTCACTTTTCGTGTATAGAATTTCAAAAAAACGTCAGTGCAAATTATAAGTCTGTATCATAATGTCTGGTGTTTTCATGTTTGTTGGGTTTTTTTATTTTCTTTTGTTTTGCGAGTTGATTATTAGATGCTGCTCCCCCGCCGCCCCGCCCTCTCCTCCCTGTGCCACAAGCAGCAGGCGCACCTCGCCTTCGGAGGGCGCCCTTACTCCCAGCAAATGGCCGACAGAAAGCCGATCGGTGCCTATGCCATTCCTAATATGCGCTGGCTGATATCGGGGCAGCATGAGTACGAGCAATTTTTTTATTTTATTTTTTTTGCCGATGCCCGTGATGCCGCCCAGGGGCAACCACCCGTGTCGCCCGTATCAAAAACCACTACTGCTACCTGGCCCCCTGGCAAAACTTTGCTAGATGCGCCCCTGCACAGTTACCAGCTGTCAGCTATGTAAAAAGTGATCCTGGTGTTATTTTTCTCTCAGAAACAGTTCATAACTTCCCTTCAACTCATTCATGTCACCTAAAAGGTAAACCTGTTTCTCCATCACAGCTCTGATGATTCAGTAAGGACATCTCCTGGTTTCATCTTCATGTTTCCCTCTCACCAGATAACCAAACCGATATCATGACCAGCAGCTTTTACAGCTGTGGCTCCAGCAAACATCAGCTGATCCTAGAAATTAATATGAAATAAATTCTAACAACAGCTGATCAAGCTTAAATGTGCTGCTGTTGTTTAGCGCGACATCCGCTGGTTTCTTCTTTCTGGCGCAAAGTGGGCGATAAACAAGAGAGGCGGGACTTGCGTCAGAAACACCGATCAGCTGATCATTGATCAGTTTCATGATTGAGAGGAAGGGGAAGAGAATGAGAGAAGAAGATGCCGCTGACAGCGTGAAGTCACAGAATAACTCCAGCATCTGTGGAAGCTCCGCCATGGCCACCACCAAACAATTTAGTTCTTTTAACAGAACTAAATTGTTTGGTGAAAAACTGTAAAATTTCTGAAGAAGATTTTCAGAAATTTTCTGACTTTTGAGATTTTGGACTTTTCTACAGTGAAAAGTCCAAATAATGCTTTAGCTGCTACTGCTGGAGACTGAGCCAGTATTTTACTGTGAGAACTTCATTCCAAAATTCACACTGAACTGACCGGCCAGGTTTATAGAAATATATATGTGAGACCTGGAGTCATCATGACTTTGATTTGAAAATGCCAGCATGGCATGTGGGTTCCGTGTGTTGGGGAATCATAATTGGCAAGAATGTAGTTCTGCAGGAATCTATTGAGAGCAGCTTGAATACCTTTCTGCCTCACTCTCTTTGTTTTTTTCTCTCCCGTGCTTCTCTTTCAATATTCTGTCCACACATGTGTTTGTTTCTATTTTTTTATATCCTGGTTTTTCTAGCTTCTTCCCTCTTTCTGGTTGTGCTTCATGTGAGATTCTGCCAGAGCATCAAAAGAAACCCGATTATTAACGAATGCTAATAAGGTCTCTCCATAGGTAGGGGGGGATCATTCATGATACTCAGTGCTGTAAACACCTTGTCAAAGAGCTGAGATGAGGGTGACTGTCTCACAGAGCTAGCAGCTTTACTGATCTCCTTAAGGAAAGTGAATCAGTTTCTGAGAAAGTCAACAACCTATGAGAGGCAGATGTTACAGCCAGACCCTACATTGTTTAGGCCGACTCCGTTTCAGCTACGATGGTATTTGTCCATCAACATCTCCTTTGAGCTTCCAGTACCCAGTGTGTCAAATTTTGCGATTAACTGTGATTGCTCAAGTCACCAAAGGAAGCTCAACATTTAAGTATTTTATTTTATTTCAGTGCACTGATAAGAGCAGCTGTATTTTCCTACTGCCTTCAATAGCAGCTGTTTACCAAATTAATACAAAATGTGACATTTTTAAAGTAAGATTACTTTGCAAGAAATATCTGAAATATACACAATAAAATACAAAGTCATGTGTTCTTGAAGCCATCTGTATCTTTATTTTTCCTCAGAATTGTTTGTGCTCTTTGACACAAAGAGGATAATAAACCACGTACGACAGGTATGTGAACAAACCAGGCAGACTTTGTGAACCAATCCTTTTGCCACATCATTTGTACACAATGCCTCTTTCCCTTATCATCATAGTATGACTCATCAACTTTATCCCTCTGTAGTTATTTCAACTTTTTCTTTCTTTCTTTCTTTCTTTCTTTCTTTCTTTCTTTCTTTCTTTCTTTTTCTTTCTTTCTTTCTTTCTTTCTAGGTAAGTCATAAAAAATAAATCACAATCTGAAAAAAAAACCTTTAGCTGTCTTCATTCAAAGTTTCACATATTAATGTCAGTCTTCCACCACCGGTTGTATGTAAGCTACATAACTTCACAGCATTTGTATCACACCACACATCACAGATATTCATAAGGTGAAACTGGAGCAAATGATTTGGATGACAGCAAGTTTTGGTTGCCAAATACATACCACTCATGCAACGTAACAGTTTGTTCATGTGAAGTAGTTTTCATTTTCCAGGTTCTGAGCCCTCAGGAACAATGATGTGTGCAAACATACGCTGAAATTTTGACGTCACATTTCTAACCTTTCTTCACTGTGCATTTTATGTTAATGACTAGCATCACAAATACAAATGCCAAAAAGCTATTTGTTGATAATCAGGGATAATTAATAATTTACACATGCATTTAATTCCAGAAAATGCAACATTTTTGGCTAAGGAGTTTTCAGCAACC